GGACGAGGACGAGGACGCGGATCCCGATGGCAATTATTGTTAGCCGTGCCGCGACATTTTCCACCCTTTCCAGCCCGCCCCTCCACCCTCTTTCGACCGGCTAATCTCGAATCCCTCCGCTCGTCGACTCGTCGAAGGTCGCCTCCCTCGAGACGAATCGAGTCTCGTCCCGGCTCCGCTTCTTTCTCTCCTCCGTCGCGAACGTCGGCATCGGCGTCGTGTCGTCTCGAACCTTGTCTCCGGAGATTTCATATTCGTCCTTGACGGCTGGGCGAAACGGTCGAGCGAACGGTGGCGACGCATAAATTCTTACGGGGTCTTACGCGGATCCGAACGCCCCGAACGTCGAGAACGTTGTTCTTACGCGCGACCGTCGATCGCGCGCGTTTCGCCCTCCGATGCTCCCGTCGTCTTTCCGCCGCCCGAATATCGCGGGCAGATCGCGCTTTCCTGTCAGCGAAAACTCTTTCGCACCCTTCCGCCTTCTGCCCTCGTCCGACGCGGCGCGCGGCACAACGCGGTCCCTCGCTTATCCGAATCGCTTTCCGCTGCGTTCCTACACGGTATCGCGACGTATCGATTCCAAGTGGCCGACCGAATACGCCGCCTCCTCGGATAACTGTTTGAAACCGAACATCGGCGTTTAGCTTCCTCGATTACCTATAGAGGGGCCCCGTGGCGCGCTTTCGCCTTCCCTTCGGCTGTTCGATCCGAAACAGCGACAGGCCGGGTCTCTCTCTCTCTCTCTCTCTATTGCACACATGCCCTACGCGCTATCCCCCAGGAAAGCGGAATATTTTTTCGAGGCCCCTTCCCTTCCGGCTATTTCGGAAACGCGTCCGTAAATCTGTCGGGTATCCCGGTTTCCCGTCGAAATTCGCGGGCCGAAAAGCTTCCCTTCGCAGCGAAAGCCCCTCCTTTCGCGGACGAATCCCGACGATCCCCCGCTGAATCGGCGACGAATCGAGAATCGTGACTCGCTCGCGAGAGAACGAAACGACGCGTAACAGCCCATAAAAATGTTCGCAACGGTAATTCCGGGCGGGCGGCGCGTCGTTGAAATACTCGTTAATATTTCTCGCGTGTTCGCGGGGCCGATCCGATAATCGCGGGTCCTGCTCCGCGCTGGAGAACACGCCGGCGAACACGCTGATTACGCTCTTCCCGTTGCCCCGCCTCGTCCCGCCTCCTCTCGCCGCCGCTCGCCTCCGCTCGCCTCGTCTCGCCTCGTCTCGCGACGTCTCGCGACGCCTCCGCCGATGTTCGATCGAGTGCAACGACGCGACGCCACCGCGCGTCGCTTAGGATTTTCGTAACATACGTGGACGAAAAAAATATGGAACAAAAAGTTTCTCCCCCCGGCGGCCGCGCGGATCGATACCGGGAAGGTGGTGGCGCGGGCGGTTTATAGTTTCTTTAGTTTCTTCAAAAAGGATGACGTGTTCGCTGGCTATCTATAGAGACGGCGACATTAACGTTAAAGTATCGCGCAGGGCGCATTACGGTGCGCCCATCGATGCGACGCGATGCTCGTCCCGAGCCCCGAGCCCCGAGCACCGGCCGCCGACAATTTCTTTTCGCCCGCGCTTCGTTCGCGGTGCCGAGAGAACCCGAAAATTCGACGATTCGAAGCGATCGAAAGGGTTCCGATCGCGAGCTTTCGCGAATTTTTCCGTGGCTCGCGTGCGTCGACGCGTGTCGACGCGGGTCGACGCGAGTACATTGCTCCCGCTCGTCGTCGCCGGCCGCTGCAACACGCTCGTTTCGGTGCTCGCGCGTCCATCGAGTCGGATATCGAGCATATTTCGGGAGAACGACTCGCGAAAGCGTATCGTTGCGCTCTCCGGGAGCACCCGTCCCGTGCGAATTCGACTCGCTGGCCGCTGCCTCGGGGGCGTTTTCGCCCGCCGCGCCGCATTCGCACGTTTACGGCACGTAAAAGCTGCCGCGACGTTCGCAGGTGGTTCGTCGTGGTCAAAAGGCAAACGGCACGGAGCGATAGAAGTTGCACAGGGAACGGTCGGACTTTCGATCTCCGAACGGAGCAGCGAGGCGAGGCGAGGCCTGCCGATGGCAAAAAGGAGCCTGGAACGGTTCTCGCGTCCTCTTTCGCGGTCAGAATCGCGGCGGAATGAATCACGGCGATCCCTCTCGCCGCTCCGGTGATTCCCCGACGGTTCCGCATCGCGCGGCGCGAGGCGCGAGGCGCGAGGCGCGAGGCGCCAGGGGAGAGGCGAAAGGTGCGCGCACCGCACCGATGCACGTGCTCGCTTTCTTTCCGATCGGCGAGACGGAGAACGATCCGCGAGCGGCAACGACTGGGCTGGGCTCGCCTCGAAATCGAATCTCGAAACTGCTCGAAACGTTCCGCGACAGCGGCTCGTTAATTTAAGGGGCTGCGAACGGTTACCGGTACGAGCGCTAGATACGGAGACAGAGGGTAACGCGCGGCAGTAAACGCTCGCCGATATTGCCGCCTCTACCTCCGACCGGCTCCATTACCCTTATTGTTAAACTTAGAGTTAGCGAACTACGGAACGAACTATAGATCGCCCCGGTCCCGGCCCCAGCCCCGGCCGCGGCCGCGGCCGCAGCCGCAGCCGCTCCTCCACGCTCCTCTACGCTTCCGAGCCGCTTCCGACACCCATCGCCGCGAGCCACGTGGCTGCAACCGTGTGGCCACGCATGCATGCGGACCAAGGTGTCATCCGTGACGTTTGCGGATTTCTTTCCTCCTCTCTTCCTTTCTTTCTTTCTTTTTCTTTCACCCCTTTTCTCTTTCCTTTCATTCGACTCCCGAGTGGCCGGACCTCTCTCGCGACTCGTCGAAAGAAAGCGAGAACTCGAACTCGAACTCGAACTCGAACTCGAACTCGAACTCGGCGTGCCAGTTACGGTTGCAGCGGCAGTCGGCCGCACTCGCGGCAGCGAGTCGCGGTCGCAGGAACGAAAATAAAGAATAAAGAAGGGGACACACGCGCGCGCGGCTAATCCGAGTGACGTGGCCACGCGCTAAATAATAAAGTTATTTGCTCCGTATCGGGCGAAGAGCATCGCCGCCCCCCTGCCCCCTCGCCCCGGGGGCTGGCACTCCGCGTCGCGCCGACCATAATAGCGACCGTAACAAGACTTTGTCGCGCGTAACCGGCGCGGCCGTTCATGCCCCGAGAAAATAGATTTACATATTCGTCTCGCGAGGGGAGGTGGATTTTCAAACGACTTAACGAAGTTAAACGCTGCTCGCGGACTCGTGGCGCGCGCCTGCTCACCGCATTATAAGCATCGCGCGTTACACCTTGCGCTAAAGACGGGGTTTACACGCGTCTCCCCGCCTCGACAGCCTAGATACACGGCCTAGGCACGAACGCTACCGCGAACGGAAGCGCGAGCAAGACCGCGCGCGGCTACACCTTTCTTCTCTCGGCCTTCCCCGTCCACGTGTTCTCACGGCTGCTCTCCGCGCGCGTTTACCGAAAGCATTCTTCCCCCCGCGTCCGCCTTCCCGCGACGATCGTCCAAGAGACGCTCGAAATCGGACGAGCCGCGACCAGGCGAGAGATCCCGATATAACCCAGCCGCGAAGTCGCCGCGCGGGGCGTGCACGGAAAAGTAGGGCCCCGCGACGAAATCGAGCGCGGGTCGCGAGCCGTTCGACGAGCGCGATCGACCTCCTAGGAAACTTTTCCTCGCGACTCGCCGCGACGACGACGACACGATATACGTATCCGGGTCCTGTTTCACCCGGCCGAAGCTTCGCCGTTCGGTTCGCCCACTCGAGACGCGATTCTACAACGGGCTGCATACGGTAACGTCTCTCTAATCGACCCTCGGATTGTCCAGAAAAATGGACAATTTGGGAAGAGGAGCCTCGCGACTCGTTTTTATAGTTACCGATCGTCAACGATTATAAAAACATAGTGCAAAGCTGGAATAATCGTATCTCCTGTTCCTTAAATTGTCCATTTTACTGCACGATCCAAGCGTCGGTTAGAGAGACATTACTGTACCGCGGGAATCGATGCTGCCGCGAAGATCTTGTTCGAACAGATTGGACCGATGCATCGATTCCTAAAAAGATCGAACGTGAAAGATCGATCGGTTTGTTTTGGAAAGCATAAATTGTCTAGGTAACGAAGTAACTTTAACTTACAAAAATGATTTATGCACGCTGCGAATCGACCTACAAACTCTCTCCCTCTCCCTCCCTCTCTCTCTCTCTCTCTCTCTCTCGTTGAAACTGGATCTTCGAATCGATTCGAGACTTAGAAATCGGTCATCGAAAATTGCAAATAAAAACATCGATCTTCCATTGGCATCTCCAGACCGGACGCGGATGGTAATTACCCGGCGACGCGGCGCGGCGCGGTGCGGCGCCGGCATTAGCCAGCAATTTTAGTAGGATTTTATCGGGGCTCGAGTAATTCGTTCGACGTCGTTGAAGCCCACCGTTGCGCCGAACGCGCGGCGTGTACGCGCGTCGACCGGATCTAATTCTTCCGGAGAAGAGATTCTCTTTTTCCGTAGGCGAACGATCGACGGAGGGACGCGAAACGTGTTTTCGCGATTAGCGGACCGAAAGCTGGTTCCGCTGATACCTCGGGAACGGGAGTTGTTCTCGTCGAGACCGACTCTCTGGTTCGAAACCGATCGCGGCGAGCTAACGGCAACATTTGTCATTCACGCCCACGCAGAGCAGAACGAAGCACGGGGGCAGAGGAGAACGGAGAGGAGAGCGGAGGAGAGAGCACAGGTTCATTTACAGCCGACACTCGAGAGCGGTTCATTCATCTCCGCGTCGCGTCGCGCCGTGTCGTAGTACGCGACGGCGTGGACACGCGTATTCTCCGGTTTCGGAAAAACGGCCGATCACGGGGAAGGACGGGGACGAGCGAGCGGTGGAGGAACGAGTAAAAGTAAAAGTAGAAGTAAAAGTAACGGGGTCCGAGTAAAAGTAGAAGGAGGAGGAGGAGGAGGTATAGGGAGAAGCAGCGTGAACTCACCGGGCTCGGCGAAGGTGATGATCTCCGAGGTCCTCGCGTAAAAGTCGTCCATCTCTTCTTGCGCGTCCTGGTCCTCGTGGTCCCCGTAACCGATCCCGGCGGTGTCCTCGGTGGGACTCTCGGCTTGCTGGTCGAGATTCCGATAGGAGTAGTCGTCGTCGCCGTAGAGAAACTCGGCCGAGTACACGTTCTCGTGCTCGTTTCGCGTCTTGTCCGGGTAACGAAAGGATTGCGCCTCGGCTCTGTAGAGAGTCTCGAGGGCCAAGTGTCTCGGGACCGTCGCCAGCGTCCTGTTCACGTCCGGCCTGCTCCTCAGGCCGAGCTTCGTCAAAATCTGGTGCTTGATGGCCTCCAATCGGAGATCGTCCGGGCTGGGCGCGGCGGCGTCTTTCGGACCACCGCCCCGGTGCGCCTCGTGCACGTGTTGATGCTGTTGCTGTTGATGCGGGCAACCTGGACACGTTTGATGGTGATTGTTTTGCCGAGGTTGCACCGCCGTCAGGGTCAGCCAGCAGATCGCCAGGCCTATCAGCAGCAGATTCGAGGGCAGCAGGCAAGAGTTCGTTCTGCAGCTGCTGTACCTCGAGACGAGGCGCACCGTCGCGGGCGACTCGCGCTCTCTCTCCTCTTCGCGCTCCTCTTCGCGCTCCTCCCGATCCTCTTCCCGATCCTCTTCCCGATCCTCTCCTCGATCCTCTCCTCCGTCGTCCCGTCGCCGATCGCGGGATCCATGGGAACGATTCGCGTCGATCGAAGGCGGGTCGCGCCTTCTCGTTCGACGACTGGCCAACAAACTCTTCTCCCAGCGGCTCCGATTTCGACCTGCGTTCGAGGTGAGTCCCGCTCTGTACGGCACCTGGTGCATCTCGGCGGCGAGTCACCTCCTCCTCCCCCACCGCCTCCTCCTTCCGCTACCACTACCACCGCTACCGTTGCTGCTACCGCTGCTGCTACCGGTAGGGCTGTTGCTACAGCTGCTGCTGCCGCTGCTACTTTTACTACGTCCACCGTTCCCGCTACCGCTCTGTATTCTTCTTCGTTTCCTTTTTTCTTCTCCTCTTCCTCCTCCTCCTCCTCCTCCTCCGCCTCCGCCTCCTCCTCCTCCTCCTCCACCTCCCCCGCCTTCCCCGCCGCCTCCTCCTCCCGTTGACGCTGTTGCTCCCTTCCGATCTTTCGGCCGATGATCGAGGCTATCCTCCGCGATCGTTGTCCACGATCTGTCGCGACGAGCGAGCCGATCCCGCTCGTTCCCGTCCCTGACTCCAAGGAGGCGGACGGTACCGTTCGCGTTCGCGTCCGAGCTCGCGTTCGCGTTCGCGTCCGCGTCCGTTTTCGCGTTCGCCGTATCGAGTAGACCGAGCTTGCCGACCGCGACGCTACGTCGTAGACGCCGATTCGACTGATCTCGCTCCCGACGGCGACTCTCTTCTCGATCTCGTTGATCTCGTCGAACGTCTGTGTTCTCCGATCTAGTAGTAGCCTCTGCTGACTCGCGGCGCGACGATGAACAATGGCTTGGACGTCGGCGACAACGACAAGTGGGACCTGTTGAAACAGCGAAGATTGCGTAGAACGGCGACGAGAACGGCGATGACGACCACGACGACAGAGAAAAGGCATTCTCGCCAAAACCCCCCATTACCAACTACCCGGTGCCGCTGTTTCAGGATCGATCTCACCCGCAAGATGGACCGCCGTAACAACCGGGTACACCCTGCCCGCGTTTTCGGCCATTCGCGCTCCTTTTCGCTGTTGCAGCTCGCACGTCCACAGGTACGCGGCCCACCCTCTCCGGCACGCTCGCTCTCCGCCGCTCCCTCCTCTTCGCCTCCTTCTCGCCTTCTTCTCGCCTCCTTTCGCCTCCTCCCCCGCTTCTTCGCTTCCTCGGGCTTCCTCCGCTCGCCGTCGCTCCTTCCGCTTCCTTTTCCGCTCGCCTCGTCCGCCTTCCTTCTCCGCCTTCCGCTTCCCGATCCTCGTTCTTCTCTTCCGTCGATCCTTTCTCCCACGTTGCTCCCTTGTTTCTCTTTTTGGTCCGGCCTCGCTCCTTCTCTCCCACCCACGTTCCTCCTCTCTCTTTCTATCTCTACCCCTACCTCTAGTTCTATCCCTATCCCTATCTCTATCTCTACGATCTACCTCTATCTCGATCTTCGTCTCTATCTCTATCCCCGTGTATCCGTATAGCTCTTTTCGGCTCGCTTCCTCTCGCTCCCTCCCCTAAACGGTTCTCTCCGCTCGTTCTCTACTTTGATCTATCTATCTATCTATCTATCTAGCTATCCAGCTATCTATCTAACTATCTATCTATCTATCTATCTATCTACCTATCCGTCTATCCATCTATTCGCCCGACTATCCGACTATCTATCCTATCGCTAGATCGGTTCCCTACTCCTATCTTCCTCCCGTCCGCACCGTTTCACCGACGACGATCGTCGCCCTGCCGACGTCGATCATACCTCGCCTCGTGCTTCTCCTGCTTCTCGTGCTTGTCGTGCCTCACGTGTCTCTCTCTCGTGCCTCTCGTGCCACTCGTGCCACTCGTCGTGCCTCTCGTGCTTCCCGTGGCTCTCGTTCCTCGCGGACGGACCGAGAGATCGCGTTCGATCCCGATCCTGGTACCGTCCTTGAGCTTCGAGACTTTTACTCGAGGGAGAACCGGGTTTGTCGACCCCGATTCCTCTCCGCGATCCTCTCCGCCGGATCGTTCGCCTCCGTCCTTTCGTTTTTCCAGCGGCGGTGCGAGACGCGTTCGTTCGGGGATGCTTTCGGTACGGTTCGAATTTCTGATCGATTCTCGATCTCGATTTATCGTGCGCGCGATCACCGCGGCGCGACTACGGTCTCCTCGACTTTCTCGGACACTTTCTACGCGTACCTAATGTCTCACTACGGCTAAGCTCTTCGGAATGATGCACCATTTAAAAGTCTGCCGCGACCGAATGCGCAACGATGGACATCCGAGCCGGCGCCGGAGCTCCTTTAGGAGGATCCCGTGGTCCTCCGACCGGCGAGGAGAGAGCCTTCCTTCCTCCCGGTGGCTGGCTCTGTCCAACGAGCGGCCCCGACCACCCTTCGCCGACTGCCGGTTTGTTCCGCCGTGCCGGCTGCGTGTGCGAGGCGAGTAGTGGCGAGAGTTCGAGCGTCGAGAGCTCGAGAGCTCGAGAGAGAGAGAGAGAGAGAGAGAGAGAGCGAGGAGAGCCCCGGTGTACCCTCCCGAAAATGAGAGAGAACGAGAGAGAGATAGGGAGCCTAATGCGCGTCCGAGGGGGACCGTGGTCCGAGAAACCGCGTGTTCCTGGCGTGCACGAGCCTCTCGGTGCACGCGGAACCCGGCCGCATCCTCTTCTCTATCTCGCGGATCTTCCAGTCGCGGATCCCTGCGTCCAGCAGCAGCGTGTCCGATGCTCGCGATACCACCGACAACAGGCCGCCGCGCCGCGCCGCGCCGCAACCACCGACCGCCCGATCAACACCGTTTTTCCAGTTAACGCTCGTCGCGAAGCTCTCGGGGTACGCTCGTTACGTTTTCTCTCTCTCCCTGTTTTTCTCGATATTCCCGTTCTTCTCGTTCCTCCTTTCCGTTCGTTCCCTTTCTCTCCTGTTCGCGTTTTCCACCGCGAGCCACCGATATATCGTCCACGATAACGCGAGACGAAACGCCGAAGGATCCCTGTAACGACCGAAGCACGCTTGTCGGAGGCGCGCCGGACACTGAGGGGCATCCACCACCACCACCACCACCACTACTACCAATACCGATACCACCACCGCCGTACCATCACCGCCAACAGCAGCAGCACCAGCACCAGCACCAGAACCAGCACCAGCACCAGTAGCAAAAGCGGTAGCAGTAGCAGCACCGGCACTAGCAGCACCAGCAGCAGCAGCAGCAGCAGCAGCAGCAGCAGCAGCAGCAGAACCAGTAGCGGTAACACCGCTGCTAGCTGCCACCACCGAACGAAACACCATCCACCCACCCACGATATAGGTACTGCAACGACCGGCTAAACTCCCCGATAACTTTATATAGGTGGTCCCCTGTACACGGTGTTCCGAAAACGTTCTCGGCCACGCGAAACGATCGAACCGGCCAAACTTTTTGCCGACGATCCTTCCTCCCCTCCCTCGATGCTTCTACCCTCTTCCCTTCAGCCTGGCTCGATTCTTTCGCTTACTATTCCGCTTTCTTCTTTCACCGTAACGGCCGGGACGTTCGCGTTCGGTGGACAGAAAATTTCTCTTCCAGGTACATCGTATCGCGATCGAATCGAACGATCGGATCGCCGATGAAATTACTCTGCAGGCGAGCGGGCGAGTTTCTTCGGCCGATCGAAGACTCCGCGTTGGACGTCTACGACACCCGGCCGGATCCGCGTATCGCCGCGTTCATCGGTAGGGTACTATCGATAGGTAATTAGGTACCTTTCGACACGCGGGCACGGATATATCGGTCGCGCGCAAGCGTTCCAGGTCCGGGCACGACGATCGAGAGACTAGACGGAGGGGAGTTTCTCTTCCTCGAGGATCCACGAGCTAACCGGGAAGGCTGAGAGAGCGCGCGCGAGAGAGAGAGAGAGAGAGAGAGAGAGAAGCAGAGAGGCGGACAAGGGTTGTTCCAACAGCCACCACGTGGCTGACGCGTGGTACCGCGTCCGCGACCGCTTCCGCCCCGCTCGAGAGACACCCGAAAGGGAACGGCGAGATTTCGCGAGCTTTTTCAAAGGTCCTTTACGCTCGTCCTTCGACCATCTCGCGAGCAACTCTGCGACGCGAAGGAACGATCGCACCCTTCCGATTCTTTGGCGAAGCGATCAAGAACTCTCCGATGCGAGCTAGGTTCGCAAAGTACTGGTCTCGCAAAATCGAACATCGCCTACAGTTCCCAGGCTTCTTTTGTTCCCGTTCTCGTTCGCGTTCGCGTTCTCGCAATAGAGAATAGTTGTCGTTTACGATAGCGAGTGTAATCTCTGCGGTTCTCGCGACAGTCGCCTTTTCCCGTGGAAGGAAGAGCGACGCGAGAGAAAGAGGACGCGACCGGCAAGATGGAAAGATAGAAAGAGAAGCGAACTAGCTTTAAGCATATTGATCAGAAGACGGTAGTTGGCCGAATGCCACGTGGTGATGCTGCGAGAGGCGCCGGTCTCTTCTCCTATTATGAGCCAAGGCTCCTATCCTCTCTTCTCTTACTTTCTCTACGATCCTCTCTCCTCTTTCGTCGTAATCTTTCCCAAAATCCTTGCTGGTACGGCCCTCTCTTATCTCTCGTCCTCCCTCTCGCGCGATCCCTCTCTCTCTCTATCTATCTATCTATCTATCTATCTCTCTCTCTCTCTTTCTCGCTCACCCCCTCCGTCCCCCCGGCGCCCCGCGGTCCGCGATGGTCGCCCAGCTCCCTGTCCACGTTCGCAACGTTCTTCTTTCGTTCGCTTCGGTGTACGCACCGACCAATTTCCACACGTACATGTCCGTAGTCCGGCAAGGAGGCTCCTCCCTCCTCGCTCCCCTCTTCCCCACCCACTGTAATCGTATAAGTGAAATTTCCGCGCGACCCGAACGCACACCAGGCCGCTTTAAAGAATACCGTTTATTTCTTCGTGGTCTCCTCCCGATCCCTTTCGCGGTCCNGAGATTTCGCGAGCTTTTTCAAAGGTCCTTTACGCTCGTCCTTCGACCATCTCGCGAGCAACTCTGCGACGCGAAGGAACGATCGCACCCTTCCGATTCTTTGGCGAAGCGATCAAGAACTCTCCGATGCGAGCTAGGTTCGCAAAGTACTGGTCTCGCAAAATCGAACATCGCCTACAGTTCCCAGGCTTCTTTTGTTCCCGTTCTCGTTCGCGTTCGCGTTCTCGCAATAGAGAATAGTTGTCGTTTACGATAGCGAGTGTAATCTCTGCGGTTCTCGCGACAGTCGCCTTTTCCCGTGGAAGGAAGAGCGACGCGAGAGAAAGAGGACGCGACC